GTCCCGTGCGATGACCGTCTTGTCGTTCTCGGCTCCCGGGTAAGTCTTGGTTGCCGCGATGATGCGGCCAGAATGGTCACACGTGCACTCCACCACCAGCGACGTGTCACCTTCCTTGCCGGTGTGGGTGTTCTTCTCGGAGAACGGGCAGCCCGGCCAACGGAAGTGGGTGCAGTCCGTAGATCCCGTCGCCCCCGGGTAACCACACTTGCGGTAGATCTCCTCGACCTTCAGCCTACACACCTTGAGTTCCACGGGTGGGCAATCCCTGCCCGCGACGTCTCTGACTGAAGACGGGAAGATGGAGGTGACCGTCTGCATCAGGCTCTCGAACAACACGAAAGGGATGCGGAAAGTGCCGGCAAACTGCACAGCTTCTCGATATTCCGGGTCCAGTCCCTCCTCCGCAGCATTCAGCTCTCGCAGCTTCAGTACCCACTTCCCCCAGGTTGACCGCTAGTATTCCGGGTGAGGGTAGGAGCGCCGGATGTGCTTCTCGCGCTCCTCCTCCTCCTCCTCCACCAGCAGATCGCCGAACAAACCACCCGGTTCTTGGTCATCTTGCTCACCATCGGAGTCGAACGTGTGCATAATGTTCTGCAAACTCGATGCTGCGGAAGCAGCCCCGGCCACTATCGACTCCTCATCCATGTTAGGCGTGGCCTTCTCGTCGGCGCGGCCTTCTCGTGCGTGTGCGTGTAGATGTGTTCGTGTGTTCGTGTGTTCGTGTGTTGTTGGGGTGTGTTCGTATGTGTTGGCGGCATTTGTGCCGAAAATGCGGCGCTACTTGCCTTTTCCGCCGCCCAAACATTTCCGACCTGCCCTACTTCAAAATGTTTGTCAAAGATTTTGTCGAACGAGCGAACTTTTGCCCCATTTCAAAATCTTTGAAAATATTTTGCCGAAGATTTGCTCGCACAAAGAGTGAAACAAAATCTTTATCCGCGAAAATTTGAAAATTTAGACATTTCTGCAAAGATTTGGCGACGATAAACATGGGTCTAAGAAAAAAAAGGCCCGTCTTAAACGTTTCCAAATATTTGGAGTCAAATATTTGGAACCAACATCTTCATTTTAAACGCGCTGCAAGGCAACTTTCCAAATCCATCTCGCCGCATGTGATGGCGAGTGAGCATGCCACGTAAAATACAACACGCCACAGATAACGGCTCCACACGCGCGACACCATGGTAGGGTCCAACATAGAGAGGGGTAGTAGTCACCAAGGGCAAATCCCGGCAGGATTCAGCGAACAGGGCGTTTAACGGCGCTGCTGTAGGTCCAGCCGCATTCGGTTTCCCTGCTCGGCCGGCCGCCAGGCAGCACCTCCGGCCAAGGCGAGCAAGCGCCAAGCAGCAAGATGCCGAGAGCATGCCCTACTTGCTAGATAGCGTCAGCCAGGTTGTTGAAAGGAGAAGCCATCATGTCTCGGGCATCAAGGTTGCAGCAGCAGGTGTGTGAGAAGCTTGTTTTTGTCTCTCTCGCTTATCTGTCTACATACGTGTCCGCCTGGTGTGTCCGCCTGTGTGTGCGTGTGTCGCTTTTCCTCCCCTATCTCGTCTCGCCGCACTCGATCGCACCCGCAATATCACCCCAACTCTTCGTCTCGCGCTGCAAGTCGAAGCATGTTTCGGGTGGTACTCACGATTCAAAAAGCTGATACCCACATGTGTGCGCCCCTATTCTTGTATCAGGACCTCCGACTCTGTAGCAAAGTCTACATTTCGAAGATGTTGGTGCCACCGACAGTGTGCTGCTGTTACCCATTGCGTAAAGCAGCCATAGTCTGCGTCTACATGTAGTTTGTACATGGGCACATGAATGCCGAGAGTACCACTGCTGTGTCCCCCAAACTACTGCTGTATCACCGAAACCTGCTGTAATCCGTCAGTAGTCGGCAGCAGCAGTGGTAAATCGTTTGTTTTTTAGTGTACCATGTGCAGCAGTACACAAATGTACAGCATGTTTTTTCACTCATGAATTGTGGGGTTTACGTTCACAGCAGCAGCCATTCTGCCAGCGTGCAGTCCTTGAAAGACAGCATGTGGATTGGTTCGTACAGCAGTACAACGTATTCGTCAGAAAACGACCCACCACCCCTGCGACTGTTGTCGACACCAAACATGCGTGACCACGACACGAGAAAGGAAGGTACTTTTTTTTTGCAGTACGTTTTCACCTACATTGACCTACCGCTCTCTCGCGTNTCGTTTGTTTTTTAGTGTACCATGTGCAGCAGTACACAAATGTACAGCATGTTTTTTCACTCATGAATTGTGGGGTTTACGTTCACAGCAGCAGCCATTCTGCCAGCGTGCAGTCCTTGAAAGACAGCATGTGGATTGGTTCGTACAGCAGTACAACGTATTCGTCAGAAAACGACCCACCACCCCTGCGACTGTTGTCGACACCAAACATGCGTGACCACGACACGAGAAAGGAAGGTACTTTTTTTTTGCAGTACGTTTTCACCTACATTGACCTACCGCTCTCTCGCGTGCACCCGACAATTTCTGAGGTGCGAATGCTTCAATATTTGACTGAGCGTCCCGCAACGTTGCCACTTTTTTCGTTTCGCGTCATTAAGGCGAAAACGCCGCTACAGGGGGCGATCGCACCTCATGCAGGCGGAAGAAAAAAAAAATGGATCTTCCGCACGTGACCGAGTAGACGGCTGGTAGAGGAAAGGCCTTCCCGAGAGCAACGGACGCAGCTGGCGCGAAAGCAGCGCTAGACAACGAGGAATCAGCGTGGGGAAACGGGGCACCGCCTACGGCATTTTGGAGGACTTCAAGAACGAAATAGTGAAGGCGATCTCCGAAAGCAAGAATCGATTCAGGCAGCCCACGCCTTGATTTTCTTCTTGCCACAGAACGAGCTTGCACGATCATCTTCGAGCTCGATCATCTTCGTGTCATTCTCCGCTTTTACCGGTACAGGAACGCCTTTCCTGAGCTATCCCAAGCCTTAACATATCTGTGTGTCATCCTGCCAGGGTTGATTTTCCTTGTCTCGAGTGTTTGCGCAACGAAACGGCAGATCGGTGCACCAGCAATACAAAAAACGATGTACAGCAGTAGCAGTGTTGCTTTGCAATTGTCGCCCACCCGACCTCTTCCCGATCGCCCTCCTCACTTATTTTTGCGATGGTTAATAATGTCGCAGGTTGACGGAGCGGTGGGGAATTATCTCGCAGTATGAGGGAGGGATGAGAGCGAGCGGGAATTGGGTGGGGGCATGGGAGGGCTCGTTGCTCTAGGGGTGATCCAGGTGGCATTCCTGCATTATCGCCATCTTGTATGCTTCTGGCACACATTCGTTTAGCCCAACGTGTTTTCGATCTCGTTCGGGTTTTGGCGTCCCTCGCATTCGTAGTGTAGTTCCTGGAAAGCCCACGCACTTGCCATTGTTGGTATAGAAAGGAGGGCGAGGACGGTACGGTGCCAAGCTTTTTTTGTTGTTCCACGCCACTCGTAAAACCGTGGCATGGTTGTTTTTTAAAAGGCGATTCAATGCATTTGTAGGTAAAGTAGGTTAAGTACCTATTGAGGAAATAAACATTGCGTGAAAATTGAATGATACATGCTGAAATGTGGGTGCAAATATGTTTGTGACAGCATCGCATGCATTCGTACTTTGGGGAGTAGGAAAGACAGCTGAGCCAATGCTCAGAAATGTACCTTGCCCTGACAACGATTGCCCGGCGGCTTTCTTTTGCCGTGGACAGTCGTAACCCGTTTGACGAAGGACCTTTCAGCATGGCCATGTGCGTGGTTCCCTTTATGTATGTCGTATGCAAGTGGGCTCCTTATTTTGGGCCAACATGCCACGTGCGTGATTTTTAAGGAAGAGAATGGAGATACAAGTCGCACTAATCATGCACCGGTGGTCACGGTATACTGCGCTTTTTGTCAAGGGTCAAACGCATTTTACCACGTGAATGAGTTCCCAACATTTTATTGTTCGTGGTGTGTAAATCACAAACGCCACACCTCCCCACAGGGAGTTTTCTCTACTTCGTGCGGTCTACAATAATTCACTTGCCGTGCAGAACACCCCCCTCCATGAGAATCTCCCCCCCCAATTACTGGCCGAAGCTAAAACTTTGAGTTAGCCCTGGGGCATTTTAGTTATATTCGTCCCGGTTGGCCAATGTCCGAGGCATTTCTCCCGGGATCTTCATCGTTTCATTCGCCTCCGTAGGGTGGCACTCCTCGTTGTGCAACAATAGTCCCTTCTACCCATAAATTTAGTGTGGGTCTATCACGACCTTCGGACGCACGAAACACGTACACCCATACACAACCAGCAGATCACATCAGCCACAACTCCGGCGGCGAGCACCTCTACCCGGTGCTTAGCTGCAGCGCACTGAGAACAGCNATCGTTTCATTCGCCTCCGTAGGGTGGCACTCCTCGTTGTGCAACAATAGTCCCTTCTACCCATAAATTTAGTGTGGGTCTATCACGACCTTCGGACGCACGAAACACGTACACCCATACACAACCAGCAGATCACATCAGCCACAACTCCGGCGGCGAGCACCTCTACCCGGTGCTTAGCTGCAGCGCACTGAGAACAGCAACAACAACATACCAAGTAAAGACGCCAAGCGCAAAGGTTGCAAGCGCACATCGCAGGGGGCATTTGTCTGCCACCTACTCTTTGAGCGTATTTTAGGGGACGGTGTTCGACAAAAGAAAATTAACCTTACACACTTGCACAGCACCTTTCCACGAACAGACAGCAAACAAAGATGAACTCCAAATGGAAGACCGCCTACAGAAACTTTCTCGCCGCCCTTGTCCGACAGTGGGTGCTTGTCGAAATGGCGCAACCCAAGCCAACCCTCCCTCGTTTTGTCCACCGCCTCTTTCTCGCTGACGATTCCCTTGGTACCCACCTAGACGACAACCCCCCCCCCCCTCCCCCCCCGGTGTTTACCATCGGGGTTGGGTTTTCGTCGCTTGGCAACGACGTTGTAAAACAAGCCTGTCCCAGCCCAAGCTAAAGCTCCTCTCTCCCCTGCCCACGACTCCAAATCTAAAGTTTCCTTGAGGCACCACGTCCACGCAAAATTCCCCGCCCGCCCGACCAAATGATTCCCTAGTCCCCCTCTGGTTGGGACCAAATTGTGTCCGGACGGTATCCACGATGCTCGTCCAGCAACATCGTCATCGCCATGCGCGTGTCGGCTTCGCCGGACCCCGTTCGCTTGTCCATGCCTGTCTTCTTGATATTATGTCGGTAACGTATCGTTGGATGTTCGCCTTAGGCATTAGACCACGAAATTTTCAGGGGCAAGGTATCAGCACGGCAGTTGGGTTTCCTGTTAGCTGACGCCATGTATCCAACTCACAACCCAGGGCCTCCCGCACGACAGGTGCATTGTCAACATTCGTTTCCGAGAAAATATCATCGCAACAACAAAATATATACTCACACGAGCCCCCAAGGCGAGGTTTACAAGCTGGGGGAAGGGGTGGGTGAAGAGGGTTGGGGGGATGACGGCGTGCCTCGTTGCTACTGTTTCTCTTGCTTCGGAAGCACCCGTCATCCCACTTCATACCCTGTACTTTACGTTACTCGGTACTGCACCAAATCCCGGAGGGAAGCCCTGTGGCGTTATTGACGTTTTTCGAAAGGCGATTTCTGGAGGCACACGCTCGAACATCCGATCTGTTCAGATATAGGTGGATCTAGGGTGGCNCATACGATACTCGGTACTGCACCGAATCCCGGAGGGAAGCCCCGTGGCATTATTGACGTGTTTTTCGAAAGGCGATTTCTGGAGGAACAAGACCGAACAGCCGATATCTGTTCAGTTATGGGTGGGTCTAGGGTGGTGGTGTGAGGTGTCGGAAGGGAAGGATTGAAGCCCTTGCAGACGATACTGAATTCTCAACCTCTTTGAGATTGTGACCCAGCCCGAAAGATAACCCAGGAGCCAAAGCAAACCGCACAGACTAGTTCCGGAGCATTGAGCACGAACAACAAGTTCAGCTCTGCCCTGCTGTACCTCAGTCAACCTGTTTCACTGCTGTAGAACCAGTGCTCAAGCGGCGTTGCTGAAGAGGGGGGTTGTCTCAAGTTAGTTGTCTCCTTCAAAATCCTTCCGACAAAGTACGACAGGGTTTGGTCATCCCTAAATTCTAGCTCCACGAAAGCTCCGCCCCTACATAGACACCGGTCGCCCCGGTGGTCTAGTGGGTAACCTCGCAGCCTGCTAAGGGCCGGATCATGGGTTCGAGTCCCGGCAGAGAGTGAATTTTTTTCTCACTAAATTAATCCTGGTCTAGGATGAAAGCGACGCGCTGCGAAGCTAGTTGTTATTAGTAAACCATAATCGACTTCGTAAGTCGCGAGGGAAGGGATCGCTGTACCCTTCTCGCGATAAAAATACCTCAGGCATGAACCGCAGGAGGGGGTCCAGCCCCCCGCTCCTATGTGACCCCGGTTGGGTCGTCTAGCTAGTAGAAGTGGAGGATAGGGGCCAGAGGGGCAGACGACAGAGTCCAATGATGGGAGAGAAAAAAAAAAAATAGTCGACTCAAACGTGGGCCACAACAATATGTCGTACACCAGGAGCGTGTTTCGAATCTACAGTACATCGCCGTAAACGAACGCTTCTATACTGGCTGGTGCTGCGACCACGCCAATACAGACCGAACACGACCGACTCTGGTGCTGGNGCCAGAGGGGCAGACGACAGAGTCCAATGATGGGAGAGAAAAAAAAAAAATAGTCGACTCAAACGTGGGCCACAACAATATGTCGTACACCAGGAGCGTGTTTCGAATCTACAGTACATCGCCGTAAACGAACGCTTCTATACTGGCTGGTGCTGCGACCACGCCAATACAGACCGAACACGACCGACTCTGGTGCTGGTAAATGCCGACAATTTCACGTGTTCGTTCACAACAACGCTTTGCACCGGTTCGCTCAAGGGGTATCACATCATCAGTGCATAGGTAACGCACATACCTGCACAGCAGCAGTAGATTCGCCAGGCACGTGTGCATAGAATGGCCCGTCGTTGGTGCCATAGGACACGAAGCTCAGCTCCTCCGCAACGCCAAACAGCACGGTGACATCGAAGGACGAAGCTCTCAGCAATATCCGCCCCAAGTCGGCGAAAGCGAACGAATCTTCGACAGCGTGCCAACGCCGTTGTATGTTCCTGCACATGATGCGATGCAACAGCAGCCAGCGTGTTCGATGAGAAACAATAACCAATAGTCTACAGATACAGGGGCGTAAGAGAACAAAGACACAAAACAACTGATGGACCAATACTGATGCCAAGTGGTTCAAAGGTCGAGCCTCGGTAAAAGAGGCTGCCGTTTAAAGCCAGTGTGACAACGGGAAGCGGATGTTCAAAAAGATACCCGTTTGCATATGTAGTCTACGGCACAACCAGAGCAGTGTCAGTTCCCCACAGCAGCACACAGCAGTTTAGTCTACAGGAGTAGTACAAGCGCACAAGTATAACAGTAATATAAAAGCAGAGGGCCGGGAAACCCAAGCGGAATCGGGTTACTGGAGACAAACAGGGCATGTCCCTCTCCCTCCCTCTCTGCCCACTGGCCTGGTAGTCGTCCTTGTGCTCCAGGGTAGACCAGGTGCCACCTGCTCTTTATCAGTTGTTGAACGCGTACTCGTTCATCGGTACAGCAGTACATCCATCCTCGAGAGTGTCGCCGCCTACAGATGTCCGCAAGGAAGCACGGAAGTGTGTGCTCATCCCCAATTAGGTGTTTCAGCTCGAAAACAGCCTGCTGTGTCTTGGGAACAAGACCATGAACGAGCGTCGACATAACCACCGCTGTGCTCAGCCCTGTGCTGTCGCGGTGGGATCGCTGCTGCGTGCACCTCGTCTGGAGCATCTCCTCGCGATCGAGAAAAAGCGCTGCAACAGGAGCCACACCACGTTTTCTGCTGTCCGCCATGACACAGACAGTATCCAAGTTAGCTCTGCTGTTGCCTAGCCGTTGTGGTACGGCCTGTGGCGCCCTTGGCTGGGGATGTAGTACCGATGCTCAACAACTTTGGAAAGCTTGCAAATTTTGCAGAAGCTACAACTACTGGTTCCAAATTTTCGGGCCCAGGTTCGTTGAGTTCGTTCCACTTTTTTAAAAGAAATTTGGAGGAATGCCTTCGTAGAACTTTGGAACTTTGGAACAAAAAATTGTAACATTTTAAACGGCCATAATGATCCTCCGGTGCGGCGCAACCTCGTTTCGGTCTGCAGTCTGCACCTCGCGTGCGTTCTTCTTTAGACAAGAGCCTTGATTGTGGCAGGCACTGCATGGTGTGACAGAACAAACACGGACGCATGTGCAGTTGTATCTGAAATGCCGAGAGAAAACACAAGAGAAGAAGACAGCGCCTGACGAGGTGATTTTATTGTTGCTATTTTGGATGCTGCTGGGTACATTTTCGTTGACGTCCCATTTCCTCCTTCCAAGCCATTTGAAGCCATAGTCTATGCCAGCACCCACGAGGTGCATGGATTATTGGCGCTTCCGTTTGCAGTACGGATAGGTGTTCCTGCGGAGACGTTGGTTGGTGTAGGTGCCTTCTCCAAAAGGGTTTCTTCTGAACTCCAGCCCGCCGTGTTGTTGGTGGTCGCTTCGCCAATCGCCATGATCGCTGGTGGTCGAATCCCGTAACACACACCAGACCAGTGCTTTGTCAGCGTAGGGCCACGGCGCTACCGAGAAGCAGTATAGGAAAAGCTAGGGGTGCCTGCATCCCTCAAAACCGCCTGGTGCACGAGGCTGTACCCAGAAAACGCCGAATAGGAGACATGTACTACTGCTGCTGTAGATGGGTCGTCCTGATGATGGATACTCTCGCGGGATCGTTGCAGTTTCCTCTGTTGTGTACCATGTAGTGCTTCATGGAAGGGCCTCACTGTTGCTGTGCAAGCAAGGCGTGCGTGCGAGGTACTGACCGACCAGCTCACTGATGATCCCGCGCAATACACCAACTGCTGTTGCTGCTGTGCCTTTGACAGCAGCAGGTGCAAGGTCTCTCTAGAGAACTCGCATAGACGGTACTTTTAGGCCACTACCTGGTACAGCAGTAGTCTACGTCAGTACCGGACGATGACTTTCTTTCCGGGTTGTGCACAATTCCGTGTTCATCAGCAGTTGTTCACCAACCCAACTCTTGGTACAAATTTAGTTGGCGAGGGCGCGGTGTAGTCTACAACTGTACCGGACGATGACTTTCTTTCCGGGTTGTGCACATTTCCGTGTTCATCAGCAGTTGTTAGGGCCGTTTTAAACAGACCGACTTTTTGTCAAAATCTTTGAAAGTGTCAAAAAAATGGAACCTGTATGTAGGCGTTTGTCCATTTTTT